TAAACTAGTTTATTTCAAAAAAAAATACAAGCAAACAAGAAAAATTGTACATAGCAAAAAACAAAAAATTTATATTAAAAAATTAACGCAAAAATAATTATTGCAAAAAACTTTATTTAACATTTTAAGAAAATTATCTAAAAAAATCAAACGTAAAAAAACTAAATTAAAAATAAAATGTGAAAACATGAATTTAAAAATAAAATATTAAAAAATGAATCTAAAAAATAAGCGTTAAAAATAATGTAAAAATTTAATATAAAAAAACTTAATCTGAAAAAATAACATACAAAACTTAATCTAAAAATGTTTAAAAAAAACTTATAAATTGAATTTACAAAAATAATCTGAAAATTAAATTAAAAAATTAATCTAAAAGAGAAGTCAATATTAAAATATTAATAAAAAAGAAACAGATACTAAAAAATTAACCTTTTAAAAACAAAATAATTATAAAAAAATTATGTATAAAAATAATTAAATCTATACTGCGCCTCTTATTCTTTTCTTGATTATTGTATCTAATCACGCAAACCAGTAAAATGAGCGAAAGATCGGCGAGCACATGTATATATACATGTGCTTTTTTTCGTTCTATGCACACTCGTCGTCTTTTCTTCACCAGAAAAACTAGCGGTAAACCGTGGCTGACCAGTGGAATTTGTAAAGAACCGCGGTATCATTTAAAACTGACAGTTAGCCGCGGCAAACCGCCGATTTTGAGAAATACCGCAGTTTACCGCTAAAACTGGTCCGGTTTTCGCAACATGGGACCTTCTATAATAAAGTTTTGTATTTTGATTTTTAAAAACAGATAGCTTCTTAATTCTAAACCTATAAAATACGAATGTATACATCTTAACAGAGAGAAACCCATTGAAATAAACGAAATTTTTACAGGAGTATTTTAAAATTGGGTGGTATGGATGGTCAACAACAATTTCGTGAGTTTCAAGATTGCATTAATCGAATGATTGAAATTGGTGTTGATTTAAATGATAACAATAAATCACGCCATTACAAACAATTGTTCAATAATATAATATGCAATGATATATGCTTTAACAAAGCGTCTAAAAAAGGATTTGAACAAAATGTTGGGGAACCCAGTCTGGATTTATTTGTTGATAAGTATATGAAAGATGGTGACGGTTTGATAGTTAGTGTTCAACATGTCAAGAAATTTTTAACATCAGATATAATAATTGGTATTTTTGCAATTGGAATGACAAGCAACAGTCGATGGTTCGTGATCAATACATCTGAAATAGAAAATAATCAAAGTAAATTAAAATAGCCCTTTACTGTTTCATTAAGAGATAATCGAAAAATGATAATATCAAAATTCATTTCAAAACTGGAAGATCAACACACTACCAGGAACCCGACTTTTTATCTATGTATGTGAAATTTGATCATTGTGTCTAAAAAGGGAAAGAAACCTCATTCGAATATCCCTAGTCGTTTTCTCCGTTACTCATAATGACTCCTGTCAAAGGCAATAGAAATTTGTATAAAACTGATTTAAGCAGAATTGCTTTGACTTGACTTAAAGCTAATTTTAAATCTTGAACTTAAGTTTGTCTAATTCTTAATTAGTTAATCTCACTTACGAACTTGACTTGATTAACTTCAAGAAACCGTTCTCAACGGATTATATTCGAAAATTGAATATTAATGTTGACAATGAAATTAATAATTGAATACTAAAAACAGTTCTCTTCGACAATTTCGGAAATTCTATATTGCAGGTCTATATAAAGTAAATGATAAACAGCGTGTTGAAATGCCTTCCACTATTGATTGAACTAATACTAATAGAAAATTTGGGTATTTCAATTGACGATGGAATAAATTTAATGAAATGTAATATCTTTAAGCACAATGATAAAGTCTATGAGAAACATATTGCTATGAACTCATGATATAAAACGTATGAAATATTTCTAAAATCTCTAATGGCAATAAAATATCTTTAAGATGTAGTAGCAGTGCACCTAATATTCTCAATATTGAATTCAATCAAGTACTTGTTATATAGATACGAAATAAACATTGAGTTTTGATTCAACTATTGTTTATTAGTAAATTTCGATATATATGTTGGTTTAATATTCTAAATACTCATTCCTAAAATCAGTTGAGTACGGTGGAGAAAATCAATTATTTTGTTTTCAATAATTTCTCTTTTTTCTTCTATAACTGATATTTTATTTTTCATTCGATGAAATAAATTTTGGTTACCCACTATGTAGAACAGACAATATTCTGTCTATCTGTATGTTTACTTTTTCAAAATACTCTTCAGAGACGTATCTATACCGACTTTTCAGAGTACTCTCTGATAATCATTGGTTTACATCGTCCGGAGAAAATCAATCGTTGTGCTGATATCATCAGAGTAAATCAATTACTGCATATGTTTTTACCTGAATTATATAAGACCTTAGTTTTGAAAGTTCTGTAAGTCCGATATCGAAAATGTTTAAATGACTAGAAAGCCCAAACACTTTTTTACAATCTTAAACTAATCCTAGATATTTAAACTAAAATGAAATCGATTACACAACAGTTTTTGAGAGAACTAAAAACAAATTTAATTGATTTACCCCATATTGAGTAAACCAATCAATACACAGGCATCATTGAGGTAACTCAATTCTCCAGGTGATTCGGATGATCGAGATTTCCAGGAATGGATTCAAAGCGCAAAGTATAACAGCATTAACTAAAGTTATGTTCTTTTTTGAAGGGTTTTAATGATGAGGATATGAATTTGAGTATTGAGTATATCACCCATATAGACAATTGTCAATTTACGCCTTCTATTTAACACATTAAAATAGATAAATTTAGTCAAGTATGATTCTGAAAATCCATTTGTTAGCCTATCGTATAACAATTATTATACAACTTCATTTGCTTTTAGATAAAACAAAAGAAGAGCTTGAATATCTGTTGTTGGCGACAAACCACTTTCGCAAGCGTGCTAAAGGTCTTGGTGCAGTGGAAGTTGGCGAGCGATATGGCTGAATATTTATTAAACTATGGAAGAACAATATGAGAAAAAACAAATGACAATGCTATAGAACAGAAAAAGTTGAAATTTTCTGATTGAAAAATGTTCAAGGTTAAAGTTTCACATTCTCATTTAAACAATTTTGATTACTGAGTTAAAAGTCAATTCCGTCTAATATTGGTATTACTCGATCCCTAAATCTGATAGTTAAATTATAATATAAATCTGATTTTACTTAATTCTGTAAGTACAGCGTTGATTAATAGTTTATTCGTAGATCAAGATTTTGAATCCTATATACATTGCATTCTTCATACTCTCTTTTGAGCAGGAAAAAAGGAAACTGACTCTTTGACTCTGCTCGTGAGAAACTTGTAGAGTCAAGTTGTTTTTATTCCGAAACCCGACTCCAAAATCTCTGAGCTTTTTTTTTATCGAAAATAGACAAACTTTAATATGGGTTATTTTTTTAATCTTAGACCTGGGCCACTCGATAAACAAACAAAAGAATGAATAAATATCAAATAATCATTAAAAGAAGAGAGCCTGTCGACGTAAAATATTATTCTGTGACTCTTTATTATTTTCATTCGATACAAAACACTCAATGTTAAGGACCAAATGCGTTTGCAGTTTGAATAGACCTGTAATCTTCAAAATGAGATGCTACAAATCTGTCTGCAATTCTTGATTTATCATCAGCCACGCATCACCGAATAACTCGTTCCGTAGGTAAACCCATTAATTTTAAATTTCTTCTTTCGTTGTTATGCAGTGAAAATTGAGAGGATGAATAGAAATTATTTGCGATGTACTATGTCCAAGAAATCAAGAATTGTTGATGAATGAAGAGAACTACTTATATTGTCGATCATGGAAATAGTAAATGCAATTACATTATAACGTAATGCATTTCGTGTATCGTAATACATTATTTCTCAGATAATGTATGTTAATGAATTATGTTTGCTGATACTGCATTAAAATGCATGAAATAAATTGCATTGTAATGTAGCTACATTCATTACTTCTGGGATCGACTACATCGGTGATGTAGTTCGGATGACATTGAAATATTATTTTGATTAACTGTATTATACTTTTATTAAGCGGATCTTTATAATGATATAGCTGATAAGTAATTCGTTTTTTTTCCTGAAACATATTCTCAATCAATGTAGCAACTTTGACCTTGTCCTTGTTTTTTCTTGAAAAGAAAAAGAAAGTTAATGCTATACGAAATAGCAAAAATGATAAAAGATAATTATAATTTTGACTCCCGAAACTTGGCCAATAAACTCACTCCAAACATTTTCGTTAGGTTGACTCTTACTCCATCAGACTCGGAGTTGGAATCGGATTTCAGAGTTCATCATAGGTCCCTAATGCTTACAGTTTAGCTTTTTAAAATCTAATTGGCTGTCAATTAATATTAATATGATTCGAAAATTCGTTTACAGTCTTATAGAAAACTCACTACTTATAATATTAAAATTTACCTTAAAATCAATTTGTAGAATCTTGAATCTTCAAAAAATAAATTAACAAACTATAATGATGATCAAGATGAAAGTGATGCTGATGATGACGATGATGATAATTTAATGGCCGATGTTCATGCATTGAAAACGGCAGCAATGTAGATTAAAACTTTCATTGATTAACATTAAAGATTTTTAAAAAAATAAAAAAAATTTATTTAGTATAAAAAAATCTTACTTTAGTACTTTCAAGATTAAATCTATTGAAAAAAAATAATATATCCATTGACTTTTCATTCGCTGAACAATTTTATTTTATTTTCAAAAGTTATCGACTCTATAAGAACAATTGCTTGACGGCGTGGGCCTAGTGATAGTCATTATGAACACCCGCATTGCTACAAAAATGATTTCAAGGTCTTGACAATAACTCAATATTTAATTGGATTGCATAGGTACCAGAACTTTGTAAATCTAAAGTAAGCTTTCGTTTGTCAAAATCTCAACTTCGCTATTTTGTCTTGACTTTTTAGTAAAAATTCCAGTTTCTAATGTTGATGCTACGTGATACAAGCCTAAACCAAATATTTGCATGAAACTACCATCGTTTAATATAACCTGAGATGCTAATGTGAATGACATGAATTTTCTAAAGTCAAACATAGATGCATGAATAGGAATTGACTTAATTTATCTTTAATTGAGTAGAGAATGATTATATTTTCGAGATACATAAGTACGGGGATTGTTCGAATCAAAACAAAAGTCAGAAAACATTGCTAGCAAAGATATAATATTCATTAACTGAATTAATCAAAATGCAAGTATTTAGCCTTGCATGTAAGACTATTCTGATATAGTGGACTCTCTTGCCAATAGACATACTAAGAATTCGATAGTCTAGTAAAATACGGATCAATAGGAATCCAAATATTTTTAGAGTTTAAAAAAACTCTATGTAAAGTCATTGAAACTGGGAGAGAGCATCCTGAGAGATTACTTCATAAACGAAGATCACAACAAAAACTAGTCTTGGTCCCTCAATTTCCAGCAGGGTCGACTCTTAGAACATTGTACCTACTACTACTCTTTGAAAAACAATTCCCATTAAAATAGAAAGATAAGCAATTGTTCATGTTTTATTTCGTAAAAACCATTTTCTTATTATTATGGTCAATAAGAAAACTCGAAATATTTGCACGTACATTCTTTTAATTACAAAATAAAATTTCATCAAGACATCAATAAAAACAATCTAAAAATTTAAGTATACATAAAATTTATCATGACGAAATAAAAATAAATTCATTTGATTAATGGCCAAAATCGATTCCTTCAAAAATGATACGTCAAATTCATCTTGTTCATTTCATTTTTTCTAATTATAGAAAAAGCAGTTAGTTCAAGGTTTTTTATTCCAAGCTCTATACTTACATTTCATGAGCCCGAACTAACATTTTGGAATGCTTGATTAACCTTAAAACGAAAATAACCACTTTTAACCATAAAAGAAAAACGAATTTTACCTTGGTTTTAACCGTTTAATAATCTACGGCTAATTGTTTAGTATGATAATAAGTCGTTGGTATTATCTCTGAGTTTATTTTATTCATCAAACGTATCCATTGACGAAATAAAGCTGCTTGTGATACCATTGATGGTTCACCTACAATATGCAAATGCAAATATATCAATAATGGGATTGATTTGATTCCAGAAAGTCAAAAACAAAGAAAAAAATTATAAAATCTTACGTGAAATTCTCAGACCACTTAAATTATCAATAATTTCACATTTTTGATCAATACACTTCCATATAAACGCATAATTTGGTGCTCGAATTGTATTTCGTATTTCCGAATTATCTGTACCTGCGATAAATAGCCGTCGTAATCCAATGGAGTTGGCATATTCTTTACTTTCTATAAATATTCATATTATTTTTCTTCAATTATTAGGAACAGACGAAAAGAATTTGGATAAAATATTTCTTCATTTTTGCACTGATTAACAGTGGCTAGCTGAAACTTTGTAATACTTAATTAGAATCGAAGATTTTTTAGTCACGGAATACCTCGCTGAAGACTTTATTTTGTATCGAGTACAAAATTTGAAAAATCCAGCAATACTTTGAATTTTGTGATCCCTAGAAAATTCTCTACAAAAAAGTATTCTATGATCTCACAGCTACTGTATTCGACTTTTCAGAATAGATATTTACATTTATAGGACAAAAAAGAACATTGTTGTTCAACTTTGTTTTTATCTTCTTAGATTGAAACCACTTATTTCGAAGTTTCTACGAATCTTGTTAATCAATAGCAAAATAAAAAAAAATATTTTGTCTAGAAATTTTCAGTTCAGTCATTACAACCTATTTTATTTACATGCTCTATTCGAGAAAATAATGCTCGTCGAATATGTTCATTATGATAAAGACTTCCAATAATACTACTACTATCTATTTCAAAATAGAAGATGGGTCAATGTAAGTTGAATAACTCGAGAACGGAGTCAGCTATCGAGGCCGGGTATTCGCCATTGTGTAGCCAAGATTGAGGCACGTAATGATATGTGAAAAAAGAAATTTTCAGATCCGTCTGAGGCGGGGTGTCAGGCAAATCTTTGCAAAGCAGGCGTGGTAAAGATAGAAGACAGGATAAGTTTCTGATTTAAACGATTGAGTTTGATGCGCACGAGTCTGCTCTACAATTCTACGTAAACCGCAGATTTCTAGGACGTTCGGTTCGAATGCTACAGCTCCTGTAGCAAAACCTGTGAAAAACAAGGTTTTGAGCCTGGAAAGCACGCTTTTTTACTCGATAAATATTCCCAAGTGATGGCTTCATAAGTTTCTGACCTCGCTAATCATCGTAGCAATATTTGTTTTGCTATATCAGTCATTTTATTTTTCTCCATTGTTGAAGTTGGCTGCATTTTGGGCAGTTTTATCCTTATTCTGCCTTGAATTTAACTCGGCTTTTCATTTGAAATGCGTTATGTTAGCTTGTGATCTTTGTATGCGATTATCGGCGCTTAAAATAAGGTGTGACGTTGTAAAGAAACATAAGTACTCTTTATTTACAAAAAAATTGTACAACTAGTGATTCAAAAGTCTGCATCTTCTTCGTCATCTGTGTTGATATCGACATCAGGTTCATCATGTTCGTCTTCACTAAGTAAATGTGGCTCGATATCTTCTTCGACAAAGTCGTCAGCAACGCGGAATTTCTCCTCCGCCTTCCGTGCATGGTCGATGAATTGTCTACTAGTCTCATCGTCCAGAGCAACAATGTACTCTTTTGACAAGGAACGAATATCACTCAGACAAAACTGAGTGTTGTGAGACGGAACATAAGCCTTCAGTTGAGCCCATGCGAGTTTAATGGGATTCAAAACGCAGTGCTTGATTGTAAGACTGACGAGCTCGACTTTGAATGCGTTGGCCACGGCGTTAGTCTTGTAGCACTTTGGAGAAACGTGAGAAAATGCGATTTCCAATAACTCAGCTTTCTTTAATTTGGCGTCATATTTTATATTATGTTCTTCGAGCCACTGCTGAAGCTGGTCCTTACGCCATGAACGCTTTGGTGGCTTGGCTTCGTCGATAAGTTCATTGCGCCATGTGGCGTTGTCGATGATGATGGCGATACGAACAGAAGGGCCATGAAGGAGGCGAAGAGAAGAGGCGGCTTTCTCGATCCAGTCAATGAAATGGGCCGAGTTCATAGAGTGGTCTTCATCACAGGTAAAGATGTCGACAGATTCCTTGTGGAAGCCGGTCTCATTGATCATGGCGGAGATGGCCAATCGTTTACCCTTTCCATCGGACTTCTTCAAACGTCCTTCACCTTGGTCGTCGAGCCATATCGAACGTTTCTCCTCACCTACATTGCACCACGTCTCGTCATGATAATAAATAAAGGTCCCATTGGCTCACAAATCATCAAGATAGCAAAAATTGGCAGCATGTTCAGCGACAAACGATATGGAGTCAAGTGGTGTGGTCATCTTGCTTGTTTATTTGTAGCAGAATTCGAGCCATTTCATATGACGCCACAGAGTCATTGCCGATTGTATGCGAAAATCAGCATGCTTGTCGTGAATATGACTGAGCACCTTCGCCACTGTGAGATATATTTTCTCCACCTAGAAACAATGAAATTAATTGTTGATAACAAATAAGAGTTTGGCTACTCACAGAAGAAGATGAAAATGATACCGGGTCGTATCTTCGCCTAGTTCGCTCAAGCATATTATCGGTCGTCCAGTGTTACTTTTCTTGGTGGATAGCAGTGGAGTCGGGACAACAGATGGCGAGTTGCCGGAGACGGTCGACCAGCGATCCTTGTGATGGATGCGAACTGATTCGGTGCTGGAGATTGTTCGGCGACGAGAACGTATCAGTTGTTGTTTTTCTTGTTCGTCCTGTTCCTTGTGACGCTGATCGGCGATCTCCTTCTTCAATTTGAATGATGAACTTTCGCTTATACCCAGCATCGCAAGTAGGTGAGCAGTGGTGTTATGAAGCAAGACGATTACACTTACTTTCTCTTTTTCGACGAAGTTGATCACACGAAAGAATATTTGTTTCTCTTTGATTGAGCATTCTTCTCCTTTTGGCATAATAGATGATTGGATGTTTCATAAACAGAATACTTGATCTTATGTAGTGGGTACATAATATAGAGAAGAAAGAGATGCGCTATGCACCAATTAGCCTGGCATTTAATTGTACATGAATGAATGAGACGATCCGATTTCACTTACAACTTACTGGAAATGTTGTTTAAAGCGTAATTCAAGGCCGAATAAGGATAGAACTGCTCAAAATGACGCCAACTCCAACAATGGAGAAAAATAAAATGACTGGTATAGCAAAACAGATATTGCTACGATGCTCAGCGAGATCAAAAAATTATGAAACCATCACTTGGGAATATCTATCGAGTAAAAAAGCGTGCTTTCCAGGCTCAAAACCTTGTTTTTCACAGGTTTTGTTACAGGAGCTGTAGTTTTCGAACGAAACATCCTAGGAACCTGTGGTTTATGTAGAATTGTCGAGACAACTCTTGCGCATCAAATGCAATCGTTTAAACCAGAAACATATCGTATCTTCTATCTTTAGCACGCCTGCTTTGCGAAAATTTGCCTGATACCCC